CACCTATCTTGCTATATCTGGTGGCTCCACAGCAGGAGGATCAGCTCTTTTTTGTGACTTCATGGCTACAGACAGGAACTGGCCTGCTTAGCATATTCCAATGTCACATTTACCTCACGGGATTTTAAGTAGTCATACAAGAAAATGAAATTCCAGAGATAGCAGTTCAAGTGACATTTGAAACTTGTTTGCGGTACCACTGTACCTCTATAAGAAGTACATGAGTGTTAAGTGCCTGGTAAGGAGTGCTGTGTGTTAGTAATTTTTGTGGACTTGTTTTCAGGAAAGATTCCCTTGTATGCTTCAAAAGCTGATTTTCCCCTCTCCTGCATATGGCTGTATCATCCCTTAATCTGCTGTTTAAGGCAAAATAAATGGGTAGGATCCTTGTCAGTTCTGCTGCTGCTGACAGAATGGGGTACCTCAGCTGCAGAAAAGAACGGTGCAGCTATCAACTCCATTGTGTTGCTCATGGCAGGGGGACATGTAGGCAGTGACTGGTACTAAAGTCATTCACATACTCTAAGGGCACACCAGATGGTTCACAGGAACATTTTTTATCAGCCATCATTCCCAGTGCAGCCAGTTGCAGTTTGGCTGTGGAACTGCAGGAAAAATAACAGAGAAAATCATAGAATAGTAGAGTTGGAAGGGGCTACCAAGGTCATTACTCTGAGGGAAAGTGGAGGACAGGAGAGCCTGGAGGAATGTTGTCCATGGGGTTGTGATGGGTTGGGCATGTCTTTGTGACTAAACAACAACAACAACGTCATTGTCCTAACTTCCTGCTATTGCAGGCCACCAATTTACACCACCCACCACCATCCCAGATGATGATGAGGATACTATTTCAATCAGAATTTTTTTAATAGCACTTCTTTGCTTTAAAAAAATAAGGAAAAGGAAGTCATGGTAACCCTTCACCTTCAGTCCCCAAAGAGGACTGCTTCCTAGATCTCACTGGTTGATTCACGATTATATACCCTATTTGCTAAGAAAGGGATGGAAAGAATTAGCCTCTCTAAATGTTGGACTGCAACTCCCATCAGCCCTAGCCAGTACATCCAATAGCGAAGCATGATGGCAGTTGCAGTCCAATAACATTTCGAGCATCCCATGCCTGTCCTAAAAGCAAGCAGTTGACAACAGGCTTACCTGATTACATTCTGCAATATTTGATTATGCTTTGGTTACTTGGGAATGAATGTTTAAACTGAGCACCTGTATCTGAAAGAAGTGTTTGCTCTAATCCATACATTCTGTTACAGTGGATCAAATCAAATATGTTTGAACTATTCCGACACCCATTAAACTAAACAGTGTGGATCTTACATGTGCACAGAAGTAACCACAAGTGATTGCAAGTAGTTCAGATCATAAAAACCGGACTTAGACATGTGCATGAATTTTTTAAAATAAAAGACATCACTGGGCCTCCTAATTGGATTGGAGCTCTGGGGGACAAGCAGAGTTCAACCCTCCCCCTTTCACACACACCACAGCTCAGATCCTAAAATCACTCCCACTCCATGCCATGTAATTTCCTGTAATATTTTTTTAAAGCCAGGAGTTCTACTCACAGATATCCTGCACCATGTGTAAATTTGCTTAGAATCTCTTAAGACAAATATACCATCAAATAGACCAGTGGCCAACATCCCGTTTTTGGGCAAGGTGTTGGAGCAGGTGGTGGTGGAACAACTTCAAGCACTCTTGGATGAGACTGATTATCTGGACCCATTTCAGTCCGGCTTCAGACCCGGGTATGGTACTGAATCTGCCTTGGTCGCCCTGTATGATGACCTGTGCAAGGAGAGAGACAGGGGGAGTGCGTCCTTGTTGGTCCTCCTGGACCTCAGCGGCTTTCGATACCATCAACCATGGTATCCCTCTGGATAGGCTAGCGGGATTGGGAATTGGAGGCACTGCTTTGCAGTAGTTCCGCTCCTATCTCAATGGCAGATTCCAGAAGGTGATGCTGGGGGACTATGGCTCTGCGCCATGGCAGTTATGCCATGGAGTACCGCAGGGATCCATTTTGTCCCCTATTTAACATCTACATGAAACTGCTGGGAGAGGTCATTAGGAGGTGTGGGCTGCAGAATCATCAGTACACTGATGATACCCAGCTCTACCTCACATTTTCTACCAATCCAGGTAAGGCGGTGGCTGTACTGAACTGGTGCCTGGCTGAGGCAATGGGCTGGATGAGGGCCAATAAACTGAAGCTCAAGCCAGAAAAGACGGAGGTCTTGTTGGTAGGTGGATCGGGTTTTGGGGAAGGGGACCGTGACCTTGTCCTGAATGGGATTGCACTCCCTCTTAGGGACAAGATCCGCAGCTTGGGAGTACTCCTCGACCCAGAGCTGTCCCTGGAAGCTCAGGTGACTGTGGTGGCGAGGAGCGCTTTCCTTCAGCTTCGGCTAATCCATCAGCTGTGTCCCTACCTGAAGAAAGACTGCCTAGCAACAGTGATACACGCGTTGGTAACTTCCCGACTAGACTTCTGTAACACGCTCTATGTGGGGCTACCCTTGAAGACGGTCCGGATACTTCAATTGGTTCAAAATAGAGCTGTCAGGCTGCTGACAGGGACTGGGCGTTATGTTCACATGACTCCAGTCTTCCGTCAGCTTCACTGGCTCCCCACTGAAGTCCGGGCCCAATTCACGGTGTTGGTTATTACCTATAAAGCCCTTAATGGCTTGGGTCCTGGTTACCTAAAGGAGTGCTTACGTCCATATGTGCCCGCCCACCCCTTGAGATCAGTGGGAGAGGCCCTTCTCTGGGAACTCTGGGTGAAGGATATTAGGAGGGTAAGTACCCGGAGGAGGGCTTTCTCTGTGGTGGCGCCCAATCTATGGAATGTGCTCCCCAGAGAGGTCTGCCTGGCGCCGTCGTTATTTGTTTTTCAGCGCCAGGCCAAGACCTTTTTATTTAAACATCATTTTAATTGTTAATATTATTTAGTGATTTTACATCTTTGGCCAGGATGTCTCCAATTATATCATATTGTTTTATATTGTTAGTATGTTATTTATTGTTGTGAGCCGCCCCAAGGCTTTGGCGAATGGGGCGGAATAGAAGCTTCCTAAATAATAAATAATAATAATCTTCTTTGACAAAAGACAGGAAGAATCACCATAATTTTCTGTATCACCATGTATTTTAACACTAGATGCAGAAAGTACAGTGCTGAATTTAAGCTGACATGGATAAAAATCACAGTTTAAGCAGAGATATCATCTATGAAATTAAGCTTCCTTTCTGTAAAATAAAATGAAGCACCTTCATACCACTAAGGGGGAACACAAATGTAAAGCAATATTGACAAATCATCTATTATTATGATGATGATTAACTGCTGCAGCCTCTTCTTTTATGAGCAACCTGATCAGAAAGCCTATGCCGAAGGACCTTGTTTCTCACAAGCAAAATAATAGCTGTTCCCTGATGCTGTAACCTCTGATCCCGGAGGAACACATTGCCAGCAGGACAAGTAGTTCCTGAAAGCCTCATCCTCTGTGAATTTTGTCTGATCTCCATTTAAAACCATTTAAAATGAGTGGCCATTGCCTTATCTTAGGGCAGTAAAAACAACAAAAAGCACAGTTAGCTGGATATCTTTTGGCCCAAATACAGTAGCGGATTTGTCATGCACCACTGTGAGATGACACATGAACAAAATAAAATCTGAGCTAAAAGATGCCAGCAAACCACTGGAAAGCCCAGCCTGTCAAGAAATCTTAAAAGCAGCCACACAAAAATGCTCAGAGGCATTAATATCCATAGTATTCCACACCTCTAAACACAATAGGCAGGGTCTTTAAAAAATAAATAAGACAATAACTAAGTTTTTGCATAATGCTGCAGTTTTCTACGGAAATCAAGCCTTGGAGAGAGGAAGCAACAGAGAGATCTGCAGAGCGGTGGTTATGAGGGGTTAGAGGGAAGAGAGAAATGTGTATAGCTATTCAATTAGCCTCTAACTGCAGCAGAAAAGAAAATTGGCAGGGAGCTCTACCTACCGCTTCAGGTTTGAAATAAGGGGACAAGAGATGGCAGCAGCGGGAAGGGGAAGCTTAAAAAGTGCGGACCCAAATACTACTATTACAGGGAATGAGAAAGAAAAAGATTTGGAGAGAACTAAAATTAGGGGAGCACATGAGATAGGAAAGGCAATAAAATAGGGGAAGTGACCATGCTGGAGTTGGAGAGGTGATGTCTAGACAGAATTCAGGAGGGAGTTTCTGAAATAAGGCTCCTAAAAAACGGGGAGTACTGTTCTGCACATACGCATGCATGCAGTTAGCAATGTGCTTGCAATATGAAAGGGAGCAACCTTTGGTGGATGCAACAGAAGAGAGGAAGGACAAATATAAATACAATAGAAATACAAATAAATATAAGGGCTAAGCAAACAGATCATGAAAGCTGGTGTGGGGGGCACTTAAGCCAGGAGAAATGTGCGAGTTAATAGGGTGGGGGAATAAAGTAGGCCCTGCAATTCATTTAAGAGGGAGAGTGGCGAGTGTACACGTGTATAAAACCAAAGTTGATGAAATACTCCAGAGCACAAAAACAGAGGAAAATGGGGGCGGGGTGGTGGAAGAAGGCAAGCTAGAAAACGGAATGAATTTAACGAGTAACCTCACGCCTTTCTGCGCGTGAAGACATGGGCAGCGAAAGGCAAAGTGGAATGAAGCGAGGAAAATGAAGAGCCCCCCAAAACAGAGAGTCGGGGAGGTTCCGGGGGAGGGGGAGTCGGAGCAGGAGGACTCGATACAGGACAATGACAGCACGGGCGCAGAGGGAAGCCCCCGCGGAGATCCGAAGGGATGGGGCAGGAATCGAGGCGGGAGAGCGCCCGGCGTGGGGGGCCGCGGGAAAGACCCCGGGGGGGCAGGGGCAGGACGTCCCTGGCTGTGCCCCGCGCGGGGGTGACGTGACAGAAAACGGTCCGTGGGCGCCTCACGCGCTGGCCCGGCCCGGCCGCTCACCCATCTGCTCCCGCAGCCCCTTCAGGGACGACGGCGGCGGGGGCGGCGGCGCGGCTCCGGTGCCCTCCGCCATCTTCGCCCGCGCGTGTGTGAGGGAAGGGGGTCCCGCTCGCTCGCTCGCTCGCTCCGTGCCCTCGCCGTCGTCCTCCTCCTTCTCCTCTGCCGGAGCCGGAGTCAATCCGATTTCCCTCACGCGCGTAGCGAGACACGGCCGCTTCGGGCGGGACTGAGCGGTCGGGGCGCACTGCGCACGCGCCCGGCCGAGCCGGCCTCGCCTGCCTCCCGCGCCCGCGCGCCGGCAGCGTGCGCGCGCACCCGTCCTTCTTCCTGCAGCGGCGCCGACGCCTCAAGAGGGCCGCGGGACAAAACTGACGAGAGCGTTCCTCCGCGCATGCGCAAACCGGAACACTCGGCGCTCTACCCCGCCCTCCCTTTCAAACGCTGCCTCCTGTGGAAGCGAGCGGGAAGAGGCGGAGCGTGGGTTCCGTCTGCGCACGCGCAGGGCTTCCTGCCCGTTCCCCCCCCCCTCCACGCGGCCGTGGAAGTGAGCCTGGTCAGGGCTTGGCGCCCAGCTAGGGTGGCTTTTGACCGTGGCTGGTTTGTTGCATTGGCCGAGCCCAGTCGTGGTATGTCCGTGTGGGGCGCTTGATCTTTGGAGATCACAGTGAGAAAGAATGGCCTGGTCTATGGTCACCTGTGCCACTGGCCTGTTGCTGGAACCCAGGATCATGGCTTCCAGGGTACAGCCATGAAAGTACCACAGAGTTCCCTGGAAAGAGTGGCAACTGCAGAAGCTACTCCAGCGATCAAGCCTCTATGGTGTGGAGTAGTGAAGAAACAGGCAATATGGGCAGAAATTAATGCACCTTGGGATTGGATGTCAGGTGCAGGGGCTGGTGGGATACATGTCAATGGCAGAATGGCTGGGGAGGATAGAAACCATAGTAATACAGGGACTACTTGACTGTCTGCAAATATGTGGAGTTGCTTGTCTTGTTGTGTGATTCCCCCCCCCCCCCCCCCAGCAATAGTGTGGCTGCTGAAAACCACTGCTTCAGAGTGCTTTCCTTGCTGGCTGTCCACAGTTTTAATATTATTTTCATTGTCGTTGCTGTTATTTTAACTGTCTAATTATTTTAGGGTTTGCCACTCTGGAATCTGTGTAGAGTGGTAGCCAAATGCAATAAAACAACCAACCAACCAGCAAATGGAAATTTTAAAGATTGCACAGAATTTAACCAAAAATTTGCATGGAATACATATGGGCTGAGACCAAAATAAAATAAAAGTTTTTAAAAAGCCTGCTAGACTGCCTTCATTTAAAACTGGGAAGGGTGTGACCAGAGGAATTTCTCAGTGCCACAGCTGAAAAGGCCCTGCTTTTCCTAGCCTTTTTACCCAAGGGATGAGGAAGGTCTCAGAAATGCAAGCTGGATAGACTCATATAGGACAAAGTGGCATGGAATGCACCGTGCTGTTATAAATGGTAAGCCACCTTGAGAGCATATAAATGAAAGTATAAACAAGTAAATACAATTCTATGCACAAAGAAAGAATTTGTGGTGGCAGCAAGCATAATATAGGAAGTTGCCACACAGTAGTGCAGCTCAGTATAATCTCTGTGCTGATTTGCAGCAGTTCTCAAAATCTACCTGGAGATGCAAGGAACCGAATCCAAACCTTTTCCATGTGCAGCATATGCTCCATCATCGGTTTCATATGCACATCGTTATTGAGACCGACCCGAGCATGCCCTTTTGTGTCCTCATCTGAGGGCAAAGCCCACAGAATTTTGTGCCACTGGCAGCCAAGCAGAGCTCCATGTGTGTGGAAGAGAACTGTCTTCTTAGAGGAACCTGGCATATGAGGAAAGGACAAAAATGTCACTGGATCCCGCGTGGCCACTCATGGTGTCTCTCAGCCATCAGTAGGCCCACGAATGGAGGCGTGAATCCGTCAGGAGTCCGTGTCAGTCATAATGCCAATTTCACCTGCTGCTTCGATCATGCTGCCATTGGCTGGGGCATGAACCCAAGTCTTGGCTCTCCCCGAGATTGCCCCTTTCCACCTTCTTAGATGTCTGGCCCAAATTGACAGGAGACCCCAGCGGCTGCTTGAGGGGGCAGTATTTTAAGTAGTGCCAATGAAATGGCATGTAAGCCCAGGTCCCTGTGCAATGTCCTGCAGGACACTGAGATGCACATCTGCAACGGTGAACGCATGCTCCGTGACTTGGCAAAGTATTCTGGGACACACGTCTATGTGGTGTCATACATCGCCTTGAAGCAGCAAATGTGTAAACCAGACTTTTCCAGCTGTTCGTGATTATCTTTTTCTTGCTTATTATCATCCCATTGTTTCGTGCAAAACAAGCAATAAACAGCAATGGCTGTTATGATTTCATTCATTCATTCATTCATTCATTCATTCCATCTATTGTTGTTATCAACATTCCAGTTGGAAACAGTCAATTGACATCATTTCTTTTTCTTAACACAGGAGGCAATTCTTAAGCTTTAAATAATAAATTTATTAAAACAACTGTGCCTTTAGGTGATGATATATTGGAAACATGCAGGGAGTGGGGGAGAAGCGTGCCAAAAAGGTGACACGTGGCAGTTGAACATTAATACAGTAACCAACAGCAGATATGTTCATAATGGTTCAAAAGTCAAAGAAAATATTTTAAAAGAATTTTGGAACAATGTCTGAATGTTTATACATTTTGCAGACAATTGTTCCAAATAGCAGCTATTCTTAAAACATGTGGAGACATCAGGAAACCCTCAGGAATTCAGGATAATACTGCATATGGTTTGATGATACATTGATTCACCAAATAGAATGATTCAGTAAATGTACCCAAGCAAAAGTGTAATTTGCATGAATTAATTATGCATTCACAACGACTCCAATTTTGTTGTAAGACTGTGGGTGAATATGTTCAATTCTATCTGTATCTTGCACTGTTTTTGAGGCAAAATCCTTTTGTGAGAAAGTGTCCCTGGCAGCAAAAACAAATGTAATTGTGAAAGAAAGAGAAAATAAACTTCTTGTATGAGCAAAGAGTCTACTGAATATGTAGACTGATACCTAATGATCTACAATCCCATTTTAAGCATGCTATGGAATTTCTAATTCAACCTTGATTTTAGAGCTGCGTATTTCCTTGATTAATGATTGAAGTGAGGGGGCGATTTGTTTTCAAATCTCATCACTCTCTTAACTGCATAAAGCATATCCTTAGACACTCACACTCTGTTTCCATTCTTCTGGCATTATGTCCTCTAAGTGTGCTCTTGCTACCACCATGCAATCACAACCAAATTGGGCATCATTTCAATGCGGGAAGAGATGTCATGAAGATTAGGAAAAAGAAGGCAATCAACTGCAATCTTGTTAGAGTTTGATGAAATTATGCATTGAAATAGTGGCACTTCATATATCTACTATCTCTGCAGTATGAACGTTACAAAGATTTTTAGGTTTGTATTGAAAAAGGATGCTTTATTTGCAGGTAAGAGAGCTGTTCTTTTAAAAACCCACTCCACAAACTTGGTTCATTGAGGACAGGATGAAATTTCCAGAGCTGTTCCAATCCAGGGTACAGGTTACAGTCGATTGCCAAATAAAAGATTCTGCATCCTAAAGCCCTTTACACACTAATCCTAATATTCCCAGTTAAGGAATTCCTTCCTCAGAATGCATGGTTGTTCCCACATGGTTGAGTTTTAGGTGATAATTAAAAACAGGTCTGTTCACCCTAATTTGGGGGCGCTTATAGCTTGAGATTATATGTGTTGGTGGTTTTAATAATCATATATAGATGCACTCCCCTGGGCTCCCCTGAGAGAAAGGAGACTATGTTAAATAAACATTGGAATTTCCAACCAACCAACCAACCAGTGGGGAAATAGCTTCTTACTGTTTTGATGCCTTTCACAGCAGTTTAACATGGTGTGGTCACTGAGTGATGTTTTCTCAGCTCATATCTGGGAATATTAGGCTAAAGGCACAGGTTTTAAATTTTGGGAAGCTTATTTTTATTCAGAAGTCACCCCCCCACCCCAGGTTGCAATCCTCAGGCAGAAAAAAGTCCCCCCAGCATTTCCCGTGGCCTTAACCTCAGAAGGGCTTAAACCCAGGAAGTGAACCCAGAGTGCTGCAAAGCAGCAGATGTTTTGGCAACAGGCACGTGTGGTGATGAGAAATCCCTGTTGCGAGGTCTGTCTCCCCGTAGATCTGACCTTGTCTTCCTATAAAATATGCAGTCTTTCCTCCCAGGCAGCAGCTGAAGTGAGCAGCAGGCTCTGAAGTCAACAGGGGCTTTGTGGGGACCTCTCCCGGTGGCTGGACTGTAGCTGCGCTGTGTTCTGCTACAGAAAGATGGCACATCACTAAAAGGTTCCAGTGTTGGCTTTGTTTTCGCTGCAGAAAAGGGCCCTTTGTCAGCTTGCCTTGCAGCATGATCCTCCCCTCTGCTGGCAAATAGGACCCCTTGTATTCTACTCCAATGTGCCACGAGCGAGGATTGGAGCAATGGCTTCAGAGAGAATGCAGGCGCTCGCTTTGCTGGCGGCTTTCCCCCACCCGGCTCCGATTCCATCTCCCACTTGAGCACATGCATTAGATAGACTGCCTGTTGCAGGACTTGCTTGGTGCTTGCATGGCCTCTCCTTTCCCACCAGTCCAGCAGCGGAAGTGACCAGTTCATTTGCTCTGATGATCATCTGCAGCAGCAGAGTGGTGAAAGGCACGTGCTCATCATGGCAGCCTCCTCCTCCTCCTCACATTGCATTGAAGCCCACCTCTTTTCCCTCTTCGCATGGCCCCACGTTATCCTCACAACAACAGTCCTGGGAGGTGGGCTAGGCTGAGAGGGAGTGACTGGCCCAAACTCACCCAGTGAGCTTCATAGCCCAAGAGTGGCTAGAACCTGGAAGATGGGCTTCATTGCCGCTTTGCTACGTAGGTGTGCCAATTGTACTGGGAGACTGAGTGAAGGGGAGAGGGGGAGCCTGAAGCGTTTGTGTGAGCTCTGCATGCAGAAGGTTGCTGGTTCACTTCCGGGCTTCTGCTTTTCCAAAAGGGCCGCATCCACAAAAGCTGAGTTGTTAAGGCATCAGAATACATGTAGTGGGTTTGGCTGCAGCCATCTAACTTGACTGACTTGGGCAGAAGTTCCTGGAGGTGCATGGAGCAGGATGCCAGATTTGCTTCCGACGGGGATGCTGGGACAGGGCTCT